CAAAGAGTGGAAGAAGTTGGCCATAGGCCCTAACCCGACCTGAGGTATGACGATACAACTCTTTGAGGATCGACACATACATCTGAGGTACTCGGTTTCTAAGCAAACAGTCCCATAGCGTGGTCATCATCGTTGTCTTACAGCGAAATACAGTGGAGTGAACTTCACCGATCGCTGTCAAACTCACATACAAGGTTAGTGGTAATATACATGGTGGACAGAGACTGCACCTATTTGAGGTACGGGGAAGGTGAACCTCTATGATCAACACACAGAGTACACAGCCAAGCATACAGCGTACATACCATTTCCAGCATTCTGGCCTTAAATGAAATGACAACAAGAACGCCACCGCTGTCAGTTCGCCGCTATATCCTTCAATATCTCCAACCAACCAGTCACAGCCTTTCGGACCAAGGTGCGATCCTATCGACGGAGTCGAATGCTGCTTGGATGTCTAAGAACACAATGATTGTTTGTCTTTGGTATGCATGATGGTGCTCTAACAGCTATCGAAAGGTGAAGATTTGATCGATGCATCCACGATGGACGCGAAACCCAGCCTGCTCCTCACGCATAGTGTACCTTCGGCGGAGAATGACAGACGTCAACAGCTTGGACGTTATCGTGATCAGGCTTATATGTTTGTGATTGGCACAATCACTGCGCAGGCCCATTTTAAGCTGGAGACAATAATGCATTTCCCCCTGGAGGGTACCTGCCCAATGTTCCATTATTTGGAGAACAGAGCCACCAATTCTCTAGCAAGCTTTCTTCTACCATCTTTAACTGGTGCTGGGGGGAGGCCGGGCGCTTTGTGACGTTTCAGGGCTTTTTTTGTGACGCGCCGTAGTGTGATGAACAGCAGAGGGGAAATCCCCATGATCACGAGGACCTCCCGTTCAGTGATGGAAACCGACAACGTAAGCCCTGGGACTTGATGTGATGAACCACATAAGGCCCCTCTAGGGTCGGCGTGTTAATAAACCGGACGACAGCAAAGCTGCCTAACGCCAAAGTTCGGTGACCATGGCGGGGCTTGAATCTCGGACCACAGAATCCGAAGCATGCTGGTAACAGCGAATAAACCACTACTCTTGGATTTCCTTGCGGATTTTCGCCTCAGAATTTGGATCTGTTCTGACAAACGATACGACATGTGCTGGGACAGTTGTTTAAGAAGCCGAAGCTGGTGGCCAGCTAAACTGCGCTTTAAAGTACTTCGCCCATCGTTCAAGACGTCACTGTTGATTGTGTAAAGCTAGCCGTCAGCTTCACAAATCATTTTGCTCACAGCCAAAGCTTTCCCACCGGTTACTCAAATGAAATGGAACACCTTACGGGAATTTCCCACAGCGACAGCACGCTCCATCTCTGATGCGCGTTGAGACCACCAGATTGTTCTACTTAAACTTACTTTGAGTTCATCTCTGGTTACAAGTCGTTATACGTTTTGCTCCCTGTAGGTCGGAAATGACCAATGTGCGTCAAGAAGGTGAAGAGGCTAATTGGTTTTGTGTTACACACTGTATACCAGTACACCTGCTTCTGCGGTCACCCATACAGAGACGGAATAAATCGTCAGCTATCGCATTGAATGGCCGACCACATTCCAGAGTGTTTGGCGAAATCGATGTCGCAAACGATAACCGATGGTTAGGCAACCATAAGAAACTCCGGGTCATCCGTTGCAAAATATCTCGTTACTAACAAAACACAGTTGACTCTGTTTTATCTTTCAAATCACTGTTGCGTAATCCTAATGTTAAAAATTTTAGCAATTGGTGAAGCGTTACTTATTCAATTTAGTCATCTGACTTTGTGCGCATATAAGTCTTTCGACACAATCAATCCACTTACCGTGGAGTTGGTCTTTTCTATGTTCGCTAATCTTTGTTTGTTTGTACACGTTTGTTCACTATAGTTAGCCAACCTAATGCTCTGTATTTGCGCCTGTTTGTTTCGCGTCAGCGATCCAGGAGAGTAAACGAAATGTTAACAAGCCGCGATATGTTGAAATAGATAAAGGAAACTATTTTTCAAATTGCTGAACTTCCTGTTTTCAAGTTCTCTCACATGTTCCATTACTCTCATTCTCTCTGTGCTCTTTGTGTGTCTACCCTCGTTTTTTCCAATTTAACGAAACCGTTTATCTGTTTGCAACTTGTGCTAAGTAACTGATGGTGTATGGAAGAGTTGACTCTAGGACACGTCATGCACAGTATACCCCGGAGAAGTCATTTTTCCCAATGAGCGATGATGCCAAATTGTGAAACGATTTGAAAGATTTATATTCCTCAACAGCCTCTAGAATTGAGTTTTGAACAGGCATATTAATGAACGTCGGAAAGCGCTGTTCCGCGCAGCTAGAACTATTTTGTCTACAAATTTGTCAGTTA